TTCAGTCTACGCAGCAAAACAGCTACGACGGCTGGAATTGGGGTCTTATTAAGTGCTAGAGTATCCGGCAAAGTTCCGAAGGTCCACTTCCCTAAGTCATGTCAGGCAAACTAAACTTCTTGAAAATGGTTTCAAATGCTTGGAATAAAAAAGCTCGAATGTTGTTTGGCGATGATCAACTTTTCTGGGATGAGCCATACAGCTGGTTTCTATTCAGGATTGCAGAGGGATTTAAAGGCATAGGTGATCTAGATGATCGTCAGTCTGTCCTCGCACGTTATTTGATGCTCCTGATACCACTTATTTCTTCATGGAGGGGTGAAATGCCCGGTCAACCTGGCCCAACGCGCCATGTTTGCTCTAGAACAGTCGGGCTGGCAGACGGTTGGCCATAAGGGGCTTGAAAGGCTGGCCCTCTAGAGGTGCAGAGCCCAAGTAAATCTTGGGGTCGAGACCAAGTTCTACTGAATACTTGACTGCAGAGAACTCCCAAGCTGTTCTTTTTCCCCTGTCGCCCACTTGAACAACAACGCTTGAAGAGGCACAGCCCAATTCTGAATGTATCTGACGAGCCGGGTTTTTTAAACCCAGTTTGGCATGCAAGAGCGTGCTGCTGTGGAGGCGCTGCTGTCAATAGAGAAACCTAATTTCGCGAGAGACGTCTTCGAGACGGCAAACGTCATGCCATACACGAGCAGTTTGACGGCTTAGGCTGTTTCCAATAAGGAAGGGGTCGGCAAGGGACAGAAGGCACAGTAGTAGCCTCGTAAATAAGGGATGTGCAGGTGGTTGAGGACGATTAATTGACGTGCTGACCGCCTTTATCATATGGAGCGTCGGCGCTCGAGAAAAGAATAGCTAATTCACATCGATCACCATCTGACAGCATGTGAGTTCGGATTAACGCGAAGATTACCGCTACAGGAGCGTCCAGAACTATTTAGGGGATACCCGTACTCCAGCGCCTCCCAGGTGAAGAATCTCCGAGAAGGTGTGCCATCAGGGCACGTCGTAGACTTTGGAACCCCCAGCGGGAAGGTCGTACTTGGTTGGAGAGGAATCGTACTTTGTCCGAGAGAATTATTTTGATAGCTGGTTTTAAGAGGAGTTGGTAGTTCCCGTTCCATTGATACTATATACTCACCCCTCCCCCGTTCTCCTCCTCGCTCGACGGCAAAATTTCAGAGGGGGGGGGGGAGGGGGGTACTGGGAAATTCTTTGCAAGTTTGGGTAGAAGGAAGCTTGGAAAAGTTGGGTTGAAGAGGTGCAAGACAAGATAGTAGGTAGGGAGTGGGAGGGACGACGCAGACGACGGTTTTGTGGTGGGGTTGGGGGTCCTATTGTCCGAAAATTTTCCCCAGCGGCAGGATGCCCTGGGGAACCCCATCAACCATGCGATACCTACATCGTTGGGAAAATCCTCTCCGTCAAATAAATACATCTACTTTTTCAATTGGTAAAAATA